AAACTGCCAAAGTTGATTTAAGTGTAATATGAGTGTCTTTACCTACACTGCTTGCAAAACAAAAATATGAATAAATATTTGGTCTAGAAATTTCACTTTCTAGAAAATCACCGCGGATTTTCTAGTTTATAGAACATCAAACTCGAATATCCAGATACTTGGAAATTATTCATAGAATTCGATTGATTTTCTATAAACTAGAAAATCGCCGGCGATTTTCCAATTTAAAGGAAATCATCAGCGATTCTCCACCTCTATAGAAAATCGAATTTATGGAAAATCAACATTTCCTAGAAAGCTGGAAATTCGTCGAGGAATGTCTATAAACTAGAAAATGCCCGGCGATTTTTCGGGTGATTTTCTATAAAGTAGAAATCAATTCAAGACTACAGTGTATATAAAATTGTTTTTGTAGAGAACAAAACGGCGAACCTTTAAAAAGAAAAAATCACTTTGTACCTTCAAAGAAAAAAAAATTATTATCGAAATACTCAGAAGTTCGTCTCCTCTGGAACACCCGGTGGTTCTTTTCAAAAATGCTGGATTTACCCGTGCACATTCAGCTTGAACAGCACGGTGCTGTTCAAGCTGAATGTGCACGGGTAAATCAACGACAAAGTTTGTCGTTGATCCCTTAATGTTGTTAAAATTTCAAGGATGAAAGTTGCATTTGAATTCCATTTTCGGCAAAATACAAGGTTTACAAAGGGGAAAGAAATTTATTAGCTCACATTTACAATTCAGAGATTTAAAAAGAAAATGGTGTTTAGGGATCGTCTTGCAGGATGTCCGGAAAAGAAGAAAGAGAAGCAAAATTTCTAATCGAGCTTTTTTCTAAAGACGACTAAGTTCTTGAAAGTTTAAGTTCAGGCCGAGTCGATGAACACAACAAATTTCTAGTCCAACTGGCTCTATGATACATCACCTATATTCTGTAAGTTTTATTATCCGTAGACGACTTTTTTTGTGTTATCAAAGTTAACTAATTTCTCGTGACATCTATCTCTGAACTACAGAAACAGTTTAGTTCGCTTTTTCTTTCTGAATCAGTAGATATTTCAGGCCGTCTCTCTGAATATTTTCTATTTCACGGTTAACAAGAATTTCTATTTTTCTCCCTGATGATTGGCTTATCCACGAAATATCCATGGCCGTTAGTCATGTTTCATATTTGGAGCCAGTGTTCCTAACATTACGCATACGCCTTTGTTTCAGAGCGTACGGTACGCGAACTAAATTGAAAATATGCTTTGTATCAACCAATAGGAAAAGACAGAACGATAAAATCCACGAATTACCACGCTTATGTACGCGCTGCTCGAAATTCTCATTAGAAACCCTGTTTGGAGCACAGCACTGACAACCATTCTGTCAGATCCTAGATTAAAGTTAAGGGAAAATGTATTTTAGAAGAACTAGAAGAAGGTAGATTTTTTTTGCTCTAGTAAAAGAATTACTATTCATTGTGATTTCTATCCTCTGAGGAAGCAAACACCGAGGTAATAGTTTCTTTCTTGTGCTCAGTGTTTTTAATAGAAATTTTAAGCAAAGTGAGTTTCCCCAGTAGTACCACTCCATTTTCCATGTTTTCCCTGCTAAAAACAATGTGGAAACCCATTTTGCTCAAGCGAGACCCACTAATCATTAAAAACACTGCTTGTGCTATCATTTGAAATGCTTTGGGTAAAAGAGAATAAAACCAAGGAACCATGCACGTTAACCTCTTAGAGCTTGATAAAACTGTTTTTACGTACTGTAAATAACGGAAAACTTGCTGAACTAGTTCACTTCTCACCCCTTTCGTCCTTTATTAGGGATCATTCTTTCAATTTACTGGGCTTTTTTTTCTACAATTTGTCAGCTCGAGATTTTCGAGTCAATATATTTTAAATGATTTGTTGCGTTGAAAAGTAATTGTATTGCGGGAAAGCCTTTTCTGGACCTGTGAGTTTTCTTCACCACACAGAAGATGCAAGTAGAGAATTATTTATCATCTATTTTTCGTTGTGTTGGTTGAGAAGATTTTATTTGCTAAAAACAATAACCTTATTTTGTCTAACAAACGGCTGTGTATTATACCAATTTTTTTTCACTGATGATGTCAGCATAGATGACCAAACGTTTCGAAATAAAACAAAGTACTTAAATCGTGGATAAGCATTCTTCTATTTTACTTGCATCAGTAAAATAAAAACATAACTTAGTTATGTTATATAAACGATAAAAAGTTTCAAAAAATTGTAATATATTATTACTAATTTGGTTCAATGATGGCAGCGGTGAAACAATGTTGAAGTACCAGCTTAGGTTTCTGACGAGGAGTAAATAAAATTAAACTGTAAATAATGGAAACAAGAAAAGAGCAAAAAAGAGACGAAGCGTTTTAAAATTACGCTTGATATGATAGTAGAAATACACTCAGTCATTCAGTCCCATTACAAACTGATGGTGAATAACAAGCATTCATCAACTTTAATTTCTTCAAAATTTTGATCGAATCAATTAATTCCTTTCACCTCTAGAGTCGACACGACGCTATATTGTGCAAATAAATTTCATTTTTTTTCTGTTCTCTTTTGTTCAAAGAGTAAACTACACTGTTTAATGTATCTCATTTGTTTTAGTTATAGCTATGTTATATATATATATGCGTAAAAAAAAATAATAATAATTGAACAACTCAATTATATTAAATTACTGCAAACCGCCATCTGCTAATAAAGATGTTAAAACTAGTGAAAAAAGACGTCTTGGTAGACTATCAAAATCTAAAAAAGCATTACCGATGCAATAAACTTCTTGTTAATTGTAACTATACTATTTTTACTGGTATAAATTAATAAAAAACTGAATAAAAATAAATTAAATATTGAGTCTTTTTAAATTAACTACTGAGCTTTACAAGTTATTTACTATGCTAAAACTAATTTTTTACTGAGTGAAAAATACTGAGCTTTTAATAAAACACATACTAAGCATTCATTATAAAATACTGAGCAATTAAATACAAGCCATTAACTATCAACAACCTAGAGCTATCAGTGGTCCTGCCTAATCAAGACTTCATCACTACAACTGGCATGGGTCTAGAATAGGTATGCACCAGTTTTAGTTAAAACGCAGTTAACTGTAACTGTAAAACTAGTACAGTTAAAGACTGTTACAGTTAAATATTTTTGAAAGAAACAAACACAATTCGAACATTTGGAGTGCGTATAAGCGGATATGTAGCGGGAGATATCTATTTACAGTTAGTATTTGATTTTCATGTTTCGAGAATATTGAAGAGATTGAAATACTGTTTTCAAATCTTTCCCATCGCTCAGATATGACGTATACACTCTATCACTGCAAATAGAGCAAAAAGGAACAGTAAGAGAAAATTTAGCTCATGTTAAAACTGTCAGAGATTTTTTTTCGTTTAGTAACTCAAGCAATACAATGTATACGACGACATCTACAGTAAGACAGAGGCACCGTTTTTATAACTGTTCTCCTCACTAATGTAAATTTTCTCTTTCTGTTTCTTTTTTCTCTATGTGCAGTGATAGACTGTATACATCGTATTTGAACGATGGGAAAGATATGAAAACAGTATTTCAATCTCTTCAATATTCTCGAAACATGAAAATCATATACTCAATGTAAACCATATCTCCCGTGATTATACGCACTCCAAATCTTCGAATTATGTATGCTTCTACCAAGAATTTTTAGATGTGACAGTTTTAATTGAGACAGTTTTTACAGTTACAGTTAATCGAAACGATCCGTTCTTGTTTCGTCGACAGTAATTAAATTATTCTTGTTTCATGGACACTAATTTCTTGCTCGTTTCGTCGATACTTTTTTATCTTGATTCGTCGACAAAATGCTTTTAATCAGTTAAACTTGATTCTTCTTTCGTCGACACTTTTTTTTATCCGTTGTAAAACATGTAATTATAGTTGCAATTATTAAAATGTATACTACGACTAGACTATATTGTGTGCATGATCACTTTGATAAAAACATTATAATTGCTCAGTTGATCTTTTCTATTGAATTTTATCAACTGTTTTCAGATTTAAAATTGTAGTATACATTTTAGTAATTGCAACTATAATTACATGTTTTACAATGGATAAAAAAAAGCGTCGACGAAAGAAGAATCAAGTTTAACTGATTAAAAACATTTTGTCGACGAATCAAGATAAAAAAAGTGTCGACGAAACGAGCAAGAAATTAGTATTGACGAAACAAGAATAATTTAATTACTGTCGACGAAACAAGAATACCCCAACCGAAACTGTTGTATATCTAGTCTAGAGGTGTTCATCATGTTAACAAGCAAGTCAAACTTCAGAGGAGAGAGAGAGGACTTTTTGAATTTTCATCTAGTTTTCCCACTATATTGTTAGCATTGAGAACAAGAATCGAATCCGACACGTGCTGATGTTTCGTTAAGAAATTACGTGACACCGGCGCATCGAAAGACTCCTCCCACCTCGCCCCCCGCCTCCCGCACACACACAAATCCTTGCGCAGAATACTCGAAAAAGTATGTCGCTTACATGTGTAAATAGTGTTCGTTTTTTAAAATGAGTAATACATTTTTTATTTGTAATGCATGCGTCACCAGACCGTTACATTTTTTCTTTTATTCTTTTTGCTCTGCTTGCTATGAAAAAAAGAAGAAATACGAAAAGCAAAACATAAAAGCTGATAAACAGTCATTCGTCAACAATGTTTTTTGTTCATTTAATATAGTTGCGCGCTACACGTAGGAAGAATTCTAGCGTACGTCATCCGTTACAATGCGTCGATAATCGACATGACTCTTTCTTTCTATCGTATCGACGTTTGATACAACGTGTTTTTTCATTCTATGACTCAGACCACGGTAGAAAAGAAAGGATTTCATAAGTCGTCGAAAGAAAAAAACATAATATAAAGAGAGTAGGACATGGCAAGAACTATAAATAGAGGAGGAACAACACGCGCTCAGTACTATCAAAATCATGGCCAACAAGCCTGAAGTTTATTCCGAGTTACCGAACAAAGCTCCGGATGATTTCAAATTACAAGTTCTGGACGATGGTGCCAGCTATAAATCAACAATTGAACGGTTAAACTTTGAGTATGGACCGGTAGAGAAGAAGAAGAGTCTTCATTTTGCCGTTATACATAATTTTCTAACGGACTCTGAATGTCAACATTATATCAACGAAAGCGAACGTGCTGGATATACATCATTGGATGGTTATCAAACATCGTATCGTTCGAATGATCGTGTAACCATTACTTCAAAATCATTAGCCGCTCTGTTATTCAATCGTATATCTGGTTACTTTCCAGATTCTATCACCCATCGTGACGCTACATGGGAACCTGTCGGATTGAACGAGGTATTTCGTTTTTGTCGTTATGGTCCTGGTGGTGTATTTGGTGCACATCGTGACACAAACTTTTCTCGTTCGGCAAGAGAACGAAGTTTTATGACAATAAATATTTATTTGAATGATACGGATGCCGGTTGTACAAGATTTTTGAATCCTTTGAACAAAGAAGTTATTTTTCCATGTCAACCACAAACGGGAAAAGCACTCATCTTTCTACACAATGAATATCATGATGGTGATGTGTTACGATCAGGTTTAAAATATCTTATGAGAACAGATTTAATGTATCGATTAAAACATGAAAATAATGGACAAACTGCGTGTTCAGATGATCAACGAATTCAAGCAAAACAATTATATTCACAAGCGGAAAAATTTGAAGAAAAGGGACAATACGATAAAGCTGTTCAACTTTACAAGAAAGCTATTGCTATGTGTCCAACAATTGAACAAGAAATGAACGACTAAAACTATTATTTGTTTTTCCTAAATAAATTCGCTCCAAAGGTTTATTTGTACTCAAGAGCGTCAATTCTACAATTTCTATGCACATTATACCGCATCGATACTCTTGATAGAATGTGCTCCTCGAATCAGAATTTTATTGCAGTGACTTCATCATGCTTTACATTTTAATCCTGTAGGTTTTGAATGTAGAACGTTCGTCCCCTGTAAAAAGTTTCTACTTGCACGACAACGGCGAAGTCCGATATGAGCAAAGCTGAGCAAACTACGCAACATTAATTACATTAAAAAAATGTGATATTTTCGTCACATTTTCAACGAGAGAGCATCTCTCTTTGCCATCGGTTACTATGTCAGTTTATGTGCATGCGTAGACAGTGGCAATCGTGAAAAATTTTCGTGGTTTTGAAAAAGGGAACCGAACGAATTTTTGTACATGAGCAGTAAATCAAAAGTTTAAGAGATATGACTTCCGATTAAGAGTCACTAATGAAGACGAGAGTTTTTTTATTAACGGTATTGAGGTAATGATACAAGAATATATACCTAAAAACTTACTCATTAATCAAAACATTTCTTCAACGTATGTACGTGCTAAATACGCTGACATAGTCGAACTATTCACAGTATACATTGAGAACTGTGAACTACGCTGAACTATTCAGAACTATGCAGAAGGATAGATTGGGCAATACAAGAACTATTAGAAACTATACAGAAATATTGAGATTTATTCAGAACTATTCACAGTATACACTGGGTACTATGAGGATAGTTCTCGTATTGCCCAATCTATACTATAAATAGGTATGCATAGTTTTGTATTGCAGTCTTTGAATTGAGGTCACTTTCTTTTCGGAAAAAATCATAGACGTTGAAAATCACACACGTTGCGTTTTTCAATATTACACCCAAAAAAGTGCGACGGATTCCAAACAATCACGTTTGGTTTTGTTTTAGATTCCTTGTTTTGTCACGTATTCATCTGCAGAAGAATCAAAGGGAATCAGCTGAAAATCTACAATCATTTTGATATTCCGCTTGAAAATCCAAACATGGACTGTACTTCTGCACCAAATCTTTTAAAGTCAGACTTTATTCACAAACTTTTCTAATCGTATGGTTGAGTAAAGCGTTCAATTCTGAGCAAAATGATATAATCAACGCCAGACTCGGTATTCTACAACAGTAAGACCTTTCACACTAACGAGGGAACCTCCCGAGGTGATAAATCGCTTTTTGATCGACATCTAATGGGTTATAGGTTATCGACCATGCTGATTCCGAATACGACCATGGGACTTCCCCATAGCTCTTCGAACATCCAGTCTTCTAGAAAATCAGTTTTTCAGAAACCCCAAAAAATAACCCAAACCTTTCTTAACAATGTACGATTGTAGCACGCAAATTTCTGATTAAAATGAAACATCCTGCAGCTCTACACGACCTTTCTTTGCAAAGTTATAGAATTTACAAGAAGAGCCCTAAATTAATTATTTCTGTAGCTTTGAGCTGACAATGAGCAATTTAGGGCTCTTCTTATAAATTCTATAACTTTGCAGAGAAAGGTCGTGTAGGGCTGCAGAATGCTTCATTTTAATCAGAAATTTGCGTGCTACGATCGTACATTGTTAAGAAAGGTTTG